TTGGTGAGTTTTTATTCTCGGAGACAGGATGTGCGGTAATGATGCTATCCACGTCATCGGTTGATGAATTTAAGTGGCCCGCGCTTTCAGGACAAGTTGATCATGGCCCACACGTGTCTCTCATCATGCGATGGCACGTGGCCTCGTTGTCTCGGTTTCTTGTTTGGATATGAGGGCCCCACCACCTCCAATCATTGGCTTCTGCCTTATTCTAATTGGCTGCCGCCTTCACGCTGTTCTTTGTCTCCCTTATGTTATTTATTCGCTGTATTATCTCTAATTTTTAATATAAGATCTTATCTATTTTTTATATTAATTTTAAATATAAGATTTTAATTCACTTTATCTCTTATATTTATTTATTTTTTTAAAGATAATCATTATAATAATAGCAGTTCTAACCAATAAACTTGATTAACAAGAATATTTTAGAAAAAATAATACATATTTATTACAAATAACTAATTTAACTTATTTCTTTAATCTACTTATCAAATTAGTCAACTAATTTTTATATTTATGATCAAAGGTAGTACTATTATGTTAAAGTATATTTTTAATTCTTTAATTTTACATAAAATTTCAATTCAGTCTTTTAATTTTAAAAAAAAATATTTTTAATTTTTTATTCTAAAATTGTTAACAAAAAATAAGCATATTGAAATATGGAGTATTAATAAAATATTTTTAAATTATAACATATTAAATTTAATTTTCAAAATAATTATGACTGTTACAGGAAATTGTCACTTAAGATTAATGACTTTAAATTAAGATGATTAGAAGTATATTTTTTGAAGTTAATAGACCAAACTGAAATCTTGTATAAAGATAAATAACCAAACACATATTTTAGCTTTATTACTATCACATTTTTAAAAATTATAATCATCATCATTATCAGCGTTCAAAAAAAAAAATTTTTGACCAGCAAGCGTTTAAAAATTATTGCATTGAATGCTCTCCCAGTTGAGATAAAAGTATTTTTTTATCAAAAAAATAATTTATTCAGACAAAAACTTTAATACGAAGGATTTGAATTCTTTTTTGTAATATGATTTGAATCATTTTATCTTTAAAATTTATCTTGAATAGATTCAAGAAATTTGTGCTCTAGATATTTTACTTCTAATTAAGAGTAAATAATAATTTTTCAGAGATTCATTAAGTCAAATCTGATCATCCAAATTTTATTTATACTCTTTTCTATATGAAAAATTAATTTTTTGTCCATACAGATAATTTAATTTAAACAATTTTTTTAGTCAGCATAGTTTAATAAAAGCATGTAAATATCTGTGGAAGATGATTGAAATTTATGTCTCTCGTTTTACTCCTCCGGTCCTAATTATAAGACCCAATTGACTTATTTGAGGAGATTAAGGAAGTAAGTTAAGTTGGTTATTTATAATAAATAAGTGTTGTCATTCCTAAAATATCCTTGTTAATTAAGTATATTGGCTAAAACTATCATTATTAGAAGGATTATCTTGGAAAAAAATGCATAAATATAAGAGACAAAATAGATTGGGTCCTATAATTAGGACCAAATAAAAAGTCAAATTAGATTTTATAATAAGAACCGGAGGAGTATTTATTTATTTATTTTTGGGAAGTGTCTGCAAGATTTAGATAAGAGTCACGTGGCATCACAAAATTCGAAGGCCTACTCAATTATGACATGCTTGCATGTGCCATTACCATTTTTCCCTAAAAAGCAACGTACACATTTTCATCATTGTGTCTCTGAGATAACAATCCATTGTCTCCTAATAACATTAATTTCCAAATTTCTGTATATACCAAGGTGATAGTAAACTATATATATTTATTCAGAGAAGAATCTCATTAAAAAAACTTAAAATTACTAAATTTTACATAATTTTTTTTCAATATATTGTTATTTGCAAATCCATTATTAAAACGTATTATTATTGTTATCAAATTTGATTTAAAATTTAGTAATTTTAAACTTTTTTTTAATGAAATTCTCATATACTAAGTTGTGGAAGAAGTTTAAAAAAAAACAATATTAAATAATTAATATTTTTTATATATAAATATAATGCAAACTTGAGTTGTGACTTATGAAAAGTCCTTCTCTTCATGGATAATAAATGCAAACGTGGAGCCAGAGACGGCCAACGGTTAAAAACACCCATTCATCATATGTTCTTGATATCGTTATTGTATATCTTGTAGTGAAGACTTTAATTCGAGTTATTTAAAAAAAATCAAAATATTAATCGAGACATGCTTATTAAAACGGAGCACTTAATTATATAGTACTGTAATTACTGGAATTATATGGTAGAACTTGCTGTGACCTTTTTCTTTTTTGGATATGATTATCTGACTAGATCATTATGTGAGTGTCATTAAACCTAATCAGGATAGCTCTTTCAATTTTTTTTTTTTTTTTTTGCATTCATACAAATTTAAACTTGAGATTTTGTATTTACGCAACTAAAAACTCCTCACACTGTAACCAACGCAGGTTCCACGCCTCCACATGTGAATAAATAAGGCCAATGTAATGAAATAATGTTCCTTACTAAGGCTTCGTTTGCAATCACAATTATAAGCACTTATAAGCATCTTTTATGTAAATTGAGTTAAAACCCTTCTTACATACTTATCTTATATTCTGTAAATTACGATTAAAAAATTACTTATAAATTATTCCAAACAACCCTAATTAATGTTGGGCTTTAGAAAATCTTCAGAACTGGAGCGACAATTTATTTAATTTTTGTTGTTGTTGTTGAGATACTGATCGATCATTTTTTTCTTACTGCTCTCTAGCTTTTATTAAACTAATTAAGGACCCATTAGTTATTCGGTTGCTGCATCATTATTCTAATTATTTCTTATGAAAAATTCAATATATTAATTGAATTCACGTCGGCTTATAATTAGGATTGGAAGTAGTATTATGTACATGTACATACATCTTCAAAAATTACTGTGCACATTATGAAAAATTCAAAATTGTCAATCCTTACCTTTTATTTTCCTACAAAGATTAAGTAGCCTTTTTTTTTTTTTTTGCCGGCACAGTTTTAATTTTGAAGGAATCACTGAACCATTTAAGATTAAAATTTTAATGTTACAGATTTTATATTTTAAAAAATAATTTTATAAAATGCTTTTATTATTGTCTTGAATTCTGACTAAAATTTAGTAGTTTAGTTTTATTTTTTATTTTCTAAAAAATTAAAATTTTATTTATAATTTTATAAAATATGAAATCTAGAACATTAAAATTTAATTTTATGGTTGGAATTAGAAGTAGATAGAAATAGAGAAAAAGAAAAGCAGAGAGACCCCTTTTCCTAATTAAGCAGGCCAAACTACACACAATAATATTGTGTATTTTTTGTGGGCCAAAATAATACTGTGTGTGGAGGCTTAAGCACTTATAAGCATATTTTATGTAAATCGAGTTAAAACCCTTCTTACATACTTATCTTATATTCTATAAATTATGATTAAAAAATTACTTATAAATTATTCCAAACAACCCTAATTAATGTTGGGCTTCAGAAAATCTTCAGAACTGGAGCGACAGTTTATTTAATTTTTGTTGTTGCTGTTGAGATACTGATCATTTCTTTCTTACGGCTCTCTAGCTTTTATTAAACTAATTAAGGACCCATTAGTTACTTGGTTGCTGCATCATTGTTCTAATTATTTCTTATGAAAAATTCAATATATTAATTGAATTCACGTCGGCTTATAGTTAAACACGTGACATCAGGCGACAAAAAGCTTAATGAATTTCGACCATATGTGGATATGAATGACGCCCGTTTTGCTTTTGAGGTTTCTGTTCGCATCGAATTAATCAATTGTGATACTTTATAATCGTCAATATGCAATTTTTTAATTCGAGATTCTTCATAGGGCTGTTGGATCCCGAAATTACGATATTCCATAATTATAATATTGTACTATGATAGCATTTCATATATATATATATAAATATATATATATAAGAAATTAAAAATAAAAACGATGAGGTCACGTATCGGTGGTTATCAGACATGCCAAAAGATGCCAACTAAATTGCTGATTCCATAATTTAGGTGCCAGTATCAGTCTCAAACTCTTTTTTTTTTTTCCAATTTCGTTCTTATAAATAATTATGAATATGAAAAAAAACCTCTATCAAGGCTCCCACCTTGTCATAAATAGAGTTGATAAACTGAATTTTATTTAATTAATTATACGTGCCTATCCATCATTTTCGTAGCTACCTCCAGATCATAATTGAAGCCCCATGTTACTATGCCAATTCTAATTCTAATTCTAATTTATTTATAAAGAGCATCATTTTCAATCACAACCTATCACAGAACACCGTTGTTAGCGATGGCAATGGACCTTTTCTTAAATAAAAAAATTTGTAATAATTCATGTACTCTTCCGATCCTAAATATAAAACTTTTATACTAATATATCTAGAATCGGAAGAGTACCATATAAAAAATTATTGTCTTCAGAAACCTAAGAGTGCATTTTTTGTTTTCGAATAACCATCTTAATTAAATAAGCGACAATAATAAAAAGCAGGGAAAATTCGATTATATATATATATATTAATTGAGTCCTGGCTTTGACATATAAGACTCATATTATAATGAGAGGCAAATGATTCGTTTACATGTTTTGGTTATGGATAGGTTGAATAATAAATAACACGGATGGAAGTTTTTGAATGGGAAAGGTGGGTGAATTATTTTTATTTGTGAAAGAGATAGTTTTTATTTATTTATATACACCACAGATTTATTAAAACCATAATAAAACCCTTTTATTGTCGGGGTCTTGGTTTTTTTTAATAATTTATGCGAGAGGAGAACCAACCAGCTGTTTTGTGAGCAGACAAAGCTCCAGAGCATTGTCTCACACCAGTGGGCGCAATGCGCACCGCCTTCTATGTCACCGAAGCAAGCTTCGTCTTCCCCCAATATCTTCTGTCCAATCTTCACAAAAGCTTAAAGCAAGTTCAATATATATATGTATATATATTAATTGTGTAAGAAATGGAATTCAATTCACTTCCGTTTATGAATTCTGAGTAGCTTGTGGGAAAAAAAAAAAACACTTGTTTGTTTTTCTGCTACAATCAAGGAAAGTTCTAGAACAACTCCAGAAGCATGAGGATGAAGGTAATGAACAATCTCATGTTCTCTTCAATCTGTGATCGATGGGGCAAACAAAATTCTAGCTGAGTCGTTACGTACGTGTAAATTGTGAAGCGTTAATTATTAGGTCTCCAAAAAGCCAGTCATTCTTAGAATGGAATTCCGGACACGGCTCAAATCCCGGCCCTTGAGGGTCCGGCCGTTCCCCGTGCACACCGAGAAGGCCATTTTCCCTGCGATCCTCCTCCCGACGAGCACGTGCGGCGGAACCATCCCTTCGTCCTCCCATTCTTCCTCCAGCTGCTCCTCCGCGTCCATACACCGGAATATGCTATCCGGAATGTTCACCGGCAGCGAGTTCGCCACGATCTTGTTTGAATTCTTCCGAATCTTGCTGGACTTACTCCGCGAATTCCACTGCTGATGATGCTGATGCGGCGGCTGAGCGATGACTTCTCTGTAACTGTCGAAGAAGCACGAATCGTCATCGTCAACGAAGCTGTCGTCGTGGTCGGCGGCCGCGGCGGAGGCCTGGCGGTGGTAGTGATCGGAGAAGATGACGTCGGACTCTTGGAATTCGTCGGCCATGTCAGAGAAAATGAGAAGATTGTGACGAAAATGAGTGAAGAGAGAAAGAGAAGAGGGGGTTTGGTATTTATAGAGAAGGGGAGGGAGTGGAGGTTTGATTGGGTTTGTGTGTTGGCGTCACCATAAAGGCGTTGAGTGCGGTCCCCGCTTTCTTCCTTCCTCTCTCTAAAATTCTCTCTCTTTCCTTTGTGTGTCAGACTTAACTTTCATTTTTGTGCCTCTAATAAATAATAATAAAAAAAAAGACTTATTTTGTGTGAGTCGGCTGCCTAAAATCTAAATCAGCTTCCGTTTCTTTTGGCCCACGTCTTTACTCTTTAATTTAACCCATTAACATTTTCCCTCTCTCCCACCCAATATCGCCCCTCATAATATTTTTTTTTTCAATTTCTTTTTCCCCTCATTTTATCTTCACGTTGCCTACTTACTTCACAGAAGTTCTAATATTGTAAAAAGTGTAATCTTTTCAAGCGAATGCGAGCAAGTTATTTGTCCATTATGTAGACACGGAGAAGTTATTTGATTGTTTGGATTTTTTTTAAGCGACTAGTTAAAAATATCAATTCCCCAATTACCATTTTTATTTATTTTGCTGGTCGGTCACCGTTATAGACTCAATTAATTAGTTAGAAATAGAAATCGCAGGCGTGTGAATCGATATGTGAATATTTAGTTTTCTGCATTTGCACACGAAGCTTGATATATTGATATTGATATTGATATTACGTTATGCTGGAAAGAAAAAAGATATTGATATTACTTTAAACTGTCTAAAAATATTTAAGCTAGAAAATAAATGTTTAATGCCGTTCAAAGTAGGTGACTAAACCCTATCACATTGCATATACGTGTAATAGGTATAATACTAGCTACCTCCGGTTATAAATATGAGACATAGTTGGGAGTGCAAAATTGCACTACAAATGAGATTTTATGTAGTACTATTTTGGTTTTACAAGAGAGAATGATTCTTTTAGACAAGCTAAAAGAAAAAGCCTCAATCTGTAATTAAACGCATTTTACTCATCAAATAATTGTTCCCATGTGTTATGATTGTAATTAAGTGAACGCGAAATCCAGTCGCCTCTGGTTTCTCTCAAAACAATGTATATATGCAAGGCTTCCTTTGATTGCTTGAGGCTTTAAACTTTGACATTTAGATGTCTAGAGATATATATAATTTCAAAACTGTTTGTTAACTACTAATTTTGTTATGGTAGTTAGAATTTTGAAACTACTGCGTGCATACGTACTATATCCAAATGATCACATTATTAATACTCCTCCGGTCCTTAATATAGGACCTAATTGTTGAGTTAATTTTGGTCCTAAATATAAGACCCATTTCTCATATTTATCAATTTTCTCTAAATTACCCCTATAGATACTCCCTCAACCATAATCAAGTACAAGAAGGAGAGGAGGTATTAATAAAGATGATTATGGTGTTTTAGGAAAAACGCGTCACATTTGTTATAATTAACTAACTTACCTAACTTCCTTAATCTAATCAAATTAGTTAAATGGGTCTTATATTAAGGACCGGAGGAGTAACAAATTCACACCCATAAAATAATTAATAAGCAAATTACACCACATATCGTCCCTTGTTTTCCCAACTATAATATCTCATAAGTTTCATTATCTTACCTCTTTTTTTTTTTAAGAAAAAAAATCATGGAATTATATTAACGTGTTGGGGTGATTGCGAGGATTTTAACGAAGAGACGCAGCCTGTAGCAGGAGTTTTGTTTTAGAGTCCGTACATGGCATGGATTTCATAAATGGGAGAACATTACGATAATAACAGTCGTAGGGGCAACATTTTAAACCGCGCCAAATAGATAATACGTGGCGGATAAGATTTTGTGACTCGTTTTCTTGTTTACCACGAGAGAGGAAAAAAGTCAAAATTTCGAGCCAAATAGCTTTGACAATTCAGCTATCAACTACACAAATACGTGTACCATGCCTATTTCGTATTTCGGGTCGGATTATATATAATTCAAAATTCATTCATGCATGGGAGAAATGAAATTCCACTAAATCACATGTTTAACGGAGAGAAACAACCTGTTCCTCATGGTATGAGACAAGATATGTTCCATACCTTTTTTTTAATAGTTTTCCTCAAGACACACACACACACACACACACGGCTGGTTTATTCAAAATTTGTAAGGCCAAACAATTTGAATGGTTTTTAATGGCATTCTAGAATGATACATATCTCTCACGGGATACTTCTTTTTTTCACGACGACTTCTGAAGACGTGGTTATTTTCCTCACTTAAATTGGTTGGTGTAAGATTATAATTTATTAAGAAATGAGTAATTTTAACAAGAAACCAACTCGAGTCAGTTCGAGAACTTATTAATGACTAAGCAGATGAGTTAATCGTATGGTATGGGGCCACGTCCACACAATTATATGCCATCTAATATCTTCTCCTGGCGCCGAATCTCGAAACCACGCGCTCAATTTCTGAGAGCCGAGCCGAGCCGAGCCGAGTGATATGGCGATGAAGCTATGGTCTGAACTCTGAAGTGAATGATTGGTTGGAGGGTAATTAAGCAAGCAAACGAGAAGCGTGGCAGGAAAGGGATCTATCTGGCTTTGCTAGGACTAGCTCGGCGCATCCCACGGCTTCTAATCCGCATGAGACGATCTTCTTAGAATCGCCCAGTAAGGAGCGGGTCCCGCTCCCAGACAAAGCACTTGATTAGTTTTAGTTAATTATTATTATCGCCGTACTCAATAGAATATACTAATAATTAATTACATACTTGAGGTCGTTTTGGGCAGAAGCGACATGGAAGGGTTTACCGAGGGAAAATGATCGCCACTCTCCGTGATCCTTATCCATAGCTCGGCCCGAAGCTCAGAAAACGACAAGCCAATAGTGAAGGGACACGTGGGAAGGTGACGTGAGTGAGGAGAGGGAATCTGATGAGGAGTACTGGGCAACCCTACTTTGGTGCCACGTTCCCGCCGTTGTTTTCGTGCAAGTCTCTCTCTCTCTCTCTCTCTCCCCTCTCGTGATGGTTTCTTAACTTGATGCGTTTGCTTCATTCGGTTACCTGTGATTACTCAAACTCCTTATTTGTTTCTTGATTAAACTTAGTATGGTATCTATGTTTCTCAATCATATGCATGTTCCTTAATTTTTACGTCATTAATATTTATCTTCCTGCACAATTATCCTGTTGTTTTAAACTTTTAATTAACTGGGTTCATGTTACCCGACGAAGATGGAAAGAATTATAGATAAAGGATTTCTTATTCCTTGAAGAGAAGAAGAACCACAGAAGGGCGGAGGAGGGGATATGGGTGGGTCAGAATGGAGGAGGAAGGTGACGGAGAAGAAGAAGACGTATAGTAGGGTTTTTTTGGGTGAGAATGACAAGACCTAATTATTAATTAATTAATAACTACATGGGGAAGGCCTAATGGCCCTGTGCCAGAGTTTTAATTTGTGTACCTTCTTACTTGTTTTAAATGATGAAAGCGATCTTTAACTTATCTCTTCTTTTCTTCTCTCTCAACTATTATTATCATTCATTCCTACATCGTCCAATTCAGTGGATTTATGCTTTCTAGGTTCCCATCCTTCCTTCATTGCGTTTCACAGAAACTGTGGCCTACTATATTGTATTGATATTTTTCATCTTTTCTTATAATTCACACACGTCCATTATACCTTTTGGACAGCCATTGAACCCATCACGACTCCACGCTTAAGAAACCTTTAAAAGAAGTGTTTGGTGTTGTTCAGATTACAAGTTCCTAACATGGTATATCGTATCGATGCACATCGCAATCTCCAATTCCTCCTTTCTGATTGCCAACATTAATGAACTGGTATCAACAAAACTACTTGGATATAATATACAAGATCCGTAAATGTATATGGATTAACTACTTGGATATGCTGGTTTTTTTACAAAAAAAAAACACTACTTGGATATATATATGTATTCCAAACTGAACTTCCCGAGAAATTGCAAGATAGTATATGTTTATGCAGCTTCATGGAGACGCAGCACAAGTTGAATGTGCTGTTTTGAATGAAGTAGGATGGTGGCGCATTAAAGTGCAGCGACCAATGGCAATAAAGAAGAAGGGGCCTGGGGCTTTGAATTATATTTTGAAGTCAGGCGAAGCCTAACCTAATAATAATGGTCCCTTCAACAGAATCCTATGACCCCCTCTTCACAGTGACAAAAAATTCCCACATGAAGCATGTCCAGAACCTATTTAATTAATATGATTAGATTAAAAAAGTTAGGTAAGTTGTTATTTATAAGAAATATGACATCTTTTTTCTTAAAATACCGCAATCATCTTCCTTGATATTCTTCATCTCTCTCTTAAGTTAATAGAATATTAACAAGGATAATTTTAAAAAAATAATTAATATGAAAAATGTCTTTTATATTTAAGATTAAGATCAACAATTAAGTCTTACACTACATTTGTTCCTAATCATATGACCTTGTTCGTAGACAACTAATGAGATTTTATAATTAGGACCAGAGATAATATTAAAGACTGGAGGAGTATAGCTTCCATGGAAAAGAAGACAGAGAGACAGAGGTGTAGGAGATATATACATGCCAATTCTATGTCTGGTACCGGTTCTACTTCTATATGTATATGTGTGCGGGAACATTTCTAACTATCTCATAAAAACCGAGCAGAAATGATCTAGTCATTAAAACCTTCAAATTTACTCATATTCAAGATCATGGATTATATATAAGAAGTCATTGCAATTAATGAAATGTTAAGAGGTGATATTATAGATATATATATATATATATATAATACCCTGCTTCAGTGACACATAATAAGAATTATCTATTGCTTTAAAAGTTGTTTTATAACAAGGACAGGTATCAGGATGGAGTATATGCTGTCACAGGCCTCTCACTTCAAATACCTTATTGTATTGTTCATTGATTTGCTGCAAAATGAACTATAACTTCAAATATAAATTGGTGTATGCTTTTGAAATGGTTGAAATATTCTGTTTCATTGATGCTCTCTTTTTCGTTTTTTTCACCCTCACTTCTCCTGTTGTCATGTTCAGTTTTGGTCACGTTCGGACCTCAAATAATGATTTTACTCTAGTAATACGAGAGCATTAATTCGCACCGAATTATTAAAAAAATACAGATACAAATGAAGAAAAATACTGAAACTTATAAAAGCACGCTATATGACATGCAATTTTAATATTACTTCTGGTCCTAATTATAAGATCCTATTTATAGTTTATAAAATGAGGTATTATAATTAGGATTAGAAGTAGTATTATCTACATGTACATGCATCTTCAAAAATTACCGTGCGCATTATGAAAAATTCAAAATTGTCAATTCTTAGCTTTTATTTTCCTACAAAGATTGAGTAGCTTTTTTTTTTTTCCGGCACAGTTTTAATTTTGAAGGAATCACTGAACCATTTAAGACTAAAATTTTAATGGTACAGATTTTATATTTTTAAAAATACTTTTATTATTGTCTTGAATTATTCTGACTAAAATTTAGTAATTTAGTTTTTATTTTTCATTTTCCAAAAACTTAACATTTTATTTATACTTTTATAAAATATGAAATCTAGAACATTAAAATTTTAATTTTATGGTTGGAATTAGAAGTGGATAGAAATAGAGAAAAAAGAAAAGTAGAGAGACCCCCTTTTTCTAATTAAGCACGCCAAACTAAACACAATAATATTGTGTGTGTTTTTTGGCCAAAATAATATTGTGTGTTTTTTTTGGGCCAAAACAATACTGTGTGGGGAGGCTTAAGAAACATGTAAAATACAGAAAAAGGAAAATACCCCCCCCCCAAAAAAAAAGAGAGAAAAAGCAAACGCAACGGTGCGTTTTGCCTCTAGGATTAATTGCTGTGCATATGCTTCAGCCGTTGTCTTGGGTCTGCGAAGTCGCGGTCTGCATTCTTTTCTCCCCACTAGACCCCCCTGCCTGCGGAGTATAGGAGATCCTAATTTCGTTCTTTCTTGCTGATATTTGATTTCGTCTGCCTATATCAACCAAATTGCTTCACACGGTACTTTCTTGGTTCCCACTTTTATCTTGGTGATAAAATTAGCCGTGTCGAAGCTGATATATTTTCCAAATTCCTTTGTAGGATTGAAAATGGTGTCTTTTGCTAGTTGCTAAGCTGACGAATCATATCTCTAAAATTTTCCCTTCTAATTTAATTTTTTTTTCGGGCATTGGTTTTGCTCGAGATTGGCATAATCTTCCTAGACCGTGAGCTACCCTTCTTGGAGGTCCCGTCGAATGATTTCATCTAAAGGGAGTACATTTTGGGGATGCATTTTCATATCCCTTGGCTCTTTATCCTTTGCTGGGTACTTCTTTGCTGCAATTATTTCCAAGCTTCTCCCGCCTTCAAATATAGCGATAATATCTGCCTTGCAAAATGACTGGTAATCAATTATAATGTAAATATTCAAAAAAATGAAGGTCCTACTTAATTATCTACTTTATGTCTGATTTGGTGAATTATAGAGGGACTATACATGAATAAATCATGGGACCTCAGCATTGAATTATGTTCCATACTTGACTTTTATTATTTTACTTAATGTACTGTCAGAGTGTTAGATGTGCAGTTTTATTATGCATGCTACCAGGTGACAAGTTTGACTATCTCTATCTCTGGTTCACATTGATACAGATTGTCATATACTAACATATTGGGTATGGGAAATAACTTGGTTTAAGTTTTAGCCTTGCCATTATGAGCATGTAGATGTCAGGACGTGGGTCAATTCGGGAAATAACTTAGAAAATGTTTTGTTAAATCTAGCATCGGGATCTTACATTTTAATTTAGCTTTGAGGGCTCAGGAAGCAAATGCTTAAGATTTCAAGCAGTCAGCTCTGGGGCAAAAATATAGAGGTATTCATGGTGTGTATTTTTAGAGAAAACCAAGTTGTAAAAGTATATCAGGAGAGTTCTGTAACCTTTTCCCTGTTAGAAACGAGCTCATCAGTGTAGAAGTTCCTTCCCGCCCTGGGGATTGTGTGCCTTGAGCATAGCTGGTTGGGACTGAGGTCGTTTAGCTTCATGTCCAATGCACTAGTAACACTACTGCCCTGCTTTATCAGCCTTACCCATGCTGGGTATAGTGGAATGACCAGGTCATAGCGGGAAGCTAGTCCCTTATGCTTATAATGTATTAAAGGGATCTACCTAGGATTCTTGTTCATCATTTGATGCAAATAACTTACTAGTCTCTGCTTGTCCGACCATGACTGATGCAGTTATTTTTCTTTAAAATCGCTAGTGCTACTATTACCATCCCGTATAAATGGCCTATTGAAATATTAGGATCTAGTTGGTTTCATCAACGCCGAATCAAGCATTTCCATAATTCATTCTGAGCAAAGTTCACTAATGGAAGACAGCTAGTCTACAGAATTACAGTCAATTAAACAGCTAGTCTACAGAATTACAGTCAAGTAAACATCAAAACAAATTAGTCCTCAAATTGTGAAGAGAAGCCTCTTATTATCTAGTGTTTTGTTTGCAAATTCCTCGATCACCAGTTTTATACAGTGTAGATTTTTTTAGCGTATTTGATTTGTGACATGAATGCTCTGACTCCTGTTGCAGGGGCAATATTTTCAACTAGTGAAATGGTTATCTTTAGTGGTGCTAAATTACTTTTGATTTGTTTTCCTAATTTCGATCGTATATCCCTTTTTCCTGATCTGTATGCGGCTTTTTATAGGTATCACTGCTTCTTGGTGCCATTGACTCTGCCTGTAGTAGTTGTTACGGTATACTTCCATTGGCTGAGCATGAAGATGTTTAAGCATGCTTAACTTCTAACGTTCATCTTCAGTTCATCGTTTGGAAGCATACTTATTGAATGTTGCCTCTTCATTTATGTCAGTTCATTGGGGGCAGTCTGCCTTGCGCACGTTCTTCATTGGCTTGTTGATTGTATAGACTTATAATTAAATGGTGGTTATTTCACCTTGGAAGTTGGAAGCCTAACCACAACCTCTCTCAGGCTTTTGTCATCTTCTTGAGTTGACTGACATAGAGTTGAGGAAAGAGATATATAAACTTCAACTTCTAAATGAGCAAAAAAAAAAAAAAAAAAACTATTCTATGCTACTGCATCTTTATTATTAAAATTTTTAATAAAGACAACTCAATGGTATATTTACTGTATTATTAAACAGTATTTACTAACGTTTTAACTGAATTTCGAAGACGAAAAACGTCTTATAACAACTAAAAAATTTAACGTCAATGATATAGTAGTACAATCATCGTTCTGAATAGCATACCTCTACCAATTCAGAGGCATTAAATCAAAAACATCAAATAGCTAGAAAAAGACTCCTAATAAAATATAATATACGAAAAGATAAAGACTTTATGGGAAAGACACAGCGACAGGGCTTCTCACAACGAACTCTTTATCAGTCCAAGTATAGGATCCAAAATAGTAAAAATCTGGATCATACTTGGTGGGGTAATTCCAACTAACAACTGTGATAGTGATGTTGAAGCTCAATTCCTGACCAACATGATCAAACTTGAGAACATCTGGAGAGGCAGTGATTGTATATTCCTTCGGTGACTCAGAATTAAAAGTGTAAGTAGAATTGCTGCGTCCGACGTTAGTGACTCTTCTGGTAAAGGTCTTGGTTCCATTGAGCTTGTGGATTTGTATGGATGGATAGTTGAGGTTGACTGGTTCGGGCACTGAAACTGGACATTTATACGGCATATTCATGGCGTGTGTTTGTCCAAGGCCACAAGTATAAAGAACGTAATCCTCGTAAGAGCTATTATAAACCAGTCCAGGATCTGCTGCTTTCACGGGTTGTAGGTGGCCCGATCCCATTGCCAATGGCGTCGCAGGTTTTCCACTTTGATCCATCATAGGATTTCCTGTGTTGTCTGTCGTGGAGGCTGTGACAAAACCAGTTAATATCAACATGTCAATCTAATACCAAAAACTAACTCATGAATAAATACATATAAAGCTTATTAATTCTTGGAGATGGATTTAATGGGGTATGGTCTGAAGTTTAGAGAGTAATTGGTGGGATGATTTGAAGTTAGTACCAGTGGTCATGAGGGCAGATTTAACAGCAGCCGCACTCCAAGTAGGGTGAATGGCTTTGAGAAGAACTGCCGCGGCAGCAACGTGAGGAGTAGCCACTGAAGTTCCAGACATTATATTGTACTCTGTCTTTCTCCGATCACCGCCCTTACTGTTCCTTGTGGGCCCATCCTTTTCTGTCCACGCTCCCAATATCTGGCTTCCTGGAGCTATTATGTCAGGCTGCAATCATCACAAATCACAACCAACAAAGTCAACGGCCACGTACGAGGTTATTCACAACATTGCACACATGCGTATGGACAAGAAGAAGTTACCTTGATAAAGTTGGGGTCAATGGGATTTGGACCCCTACCAGAGAAGGAAGTGACGGTGGGTGCTGGTTTAGAGTTTAAGGTTGTTTGCCCAGGAAGAATACGAGCCTTAGCGTCCTTGGTTGTTCTTATGTAATGGATAAGTTTTTTGGTATCTTCAAAAGTAACACCAGTGGATGGGATTTGGTTGGACTCACAGGCAATATCATTGCCATGATCAGGATCATTCCCAAGAATGAAACCAACCCCACCATTGTTCCGAACTTCCAGACCTTGGTGTAATGGAGTGCCTTTCCCCCTAAGACACAGCACTATCTTCCCTTTCACCTTCTCTGCCTCAAGGCTGCCGTCCAGACAATACCTGCATATTTGTCTCTATTCGATTAATCCGTTCAATTTCATCATAACCAAATCTACACAATCATCAGTGTTCAATTAGGTTTGGAGAATCACCCTGAATCTGTTTTAGAAGTCGTTGGTTTCTCAACATCGCTCGCCAACACCAAGCTGTGGAAGTTGTTGTCCATTTGCACTGGAGTGATTGATTGTCCCTGATAATTAATACATATAACACTGATTGATATAAGAGTTTTGAACAGAAGGCATATAGAAATTAAAAAAAACTGTGACAAGTCACCTGAACTTTTGTGCCATCGGCAAGAAGAAGAGGAGCAGGGAACGTACGATCAATGTGACTAGCACCGACCGTGATGAGCCAAGGAGCAACGTTGGTCAAAGTTTGATGATCAGGTCCAGTATTGCCAGCACTAGAAACCACCACGATGTTCTTCTTCAATGCGTGCAACGATCCGATTGCGCTCTTGTCGCGTACAAAAGTCTGGGCAACATCGAAACCAAAGGAGAAGCTTATAACGTCGACGCCGTCTCCGATGGCATCGTCGAAAGCCTTGGTTATGTCTAAGTCGTCGCAGTAATTCCCTGACTCATAAGAACTGCCTGGCCAAACCCAGCATACCTTATAGATGGCAAGGCGGGCCAGTGGGGCGCCACCCGACGCGGTGCCGCCGGCGAACCCGCCATACCCTGTGACGTTGGGAACCGTGCGTCCGGCGATGATAGAGGCCAGGTGAGTGCCGTGGCCGTCTTTGTCACGAGCAGATTTGATGTCTTGGGATTCGTCTAGAGGACCAAATGCGCCTTGATATCCATTGAGGTAATACCGAGCTCCGATTATCTTTCTGCATATAATAATCCAAACACTGCTTGCTTAAGTGTCTTTAAAATTTTTGACAATATTTATGCTGACCATATATATATATATATAACGTAAAATTTTTGGATTCAAACAAATTATCCAGAACATATAATTAATACCGATTACAGGTGGATGAGTTGAAAGCAGTTCCATTTTGGCAGATTCCTTTCCATCTGGCAGGAACAGGTTTCATGCCTTCATCGCTGAAGCTCTTTGATTCAGGCCACACTCCTATATCAACAACACAAACATTTGGTGTGTGTATATATAGATGTGCGAGCAGCTCAAATTAAACTGATGATAGATATATATAAAATCGTAATAACTAACACAGAACGTACCAGTGTCAAATATGCCAACTATAACATCTTGGCCATAGTTAGCTCTGGATAAGAGGCCGTGATTGTGATTATTCAAAGGCTGCTTCAAATCCATGAAGCTCCATGACCTTGTGGTATGCAGAGAGTAGGGCTTCCTTGCCTTGCTTTCTCTCACAGACACCACTCCCTTCATTCCTGTCCCAATTCATTAATCAATATATAGTTGTAACACATCATTAATTAAGTAGATGACAATAAGCAATTAATTAATTACTGGCTAGTCTGGAGGCTTCTTCCGGGGTGAGAGCAGCGGCGAGGCCATTGAAGCTGTGCTTGTAACTGTAAATATGAGAAGCTTCGGCTTCCTCGTCGGTGTCTTTGAGAAGACGCAGATACAA